CTCTCTGCTATTCATGCTAAGGTGAATTTCTCTTTTATGTTTTTAGCTTTTAAATACATTCTGAGAATCTGCCCTGGCAATGTAAAATTTCTCTTTGAGCAATTCATCTGCACGATCTGAGTTCTACTAAGAGCAAATTTATTCTTTGGGTGCCCTATCTAGCCAAAAGAATACCATCCGCATGCAATACTTGGGCAGAATGTCAAGGTTAGCAGAAGTACAATGTTCAGAAAGAAAATGCTAAGTGGGTTAAAAACCCTGCTAAACAGGCCACAGGGATGCATCTGTAATACGCCCTATTCTATAGGCTCTATTCTATCCCTGGCATCTTCAAGCAAGACTAGAATAGGCTTCCGCCTGAAACCATTGGAAATCCACTGCTAGTCAAGACAGATGGTCCTGACCTAGGTGGACCAATTATCTGTCTTGGTATAAGGTAGGCTCACCATGTTAGAAGCATGAACAATATTCATAGCAAGTAATCTAATTCATCCTGCTCAACAAACAACGGATGCAATCCACAAATCATTTAAGTGTGTTTTAATCTCACTGAACTAAAACAATAACACTTAACACTGCCATAGTGCCTTCAAGTGTTCAAAGTACTTCACTCTTTTCCCCCCTTTTGATTAAACATTATTATAGTTTTCAGCATAACATGGGAAGAAAAAGCAAAATACAATTCAAAAGTACATAAAAAATTCTGTTGAACCATTGGGTCTTATTAGGGAAATCAAGTATATACTGGGATAAAATGTCCTTTAACCAACTTGCAGTTTATATAACAAACTAACAACTCAAGAGAGCAAAAAACCATAACACATTTTAGAAACATATTCTCTACATCTACCACACTGAATAGAATATATCCAATTATTCATATATAAATCTGGCCTTTGACCTTGCTTACTCCTTAAATCAGTCAATTTTGCCATAGTAGCATATTTCCATAGTTTTTCATACCAGTTTTTCATATCAGTTACAGACAGTATGCATGGTTGGCTCCTCTTCTTAGCACATGCAATCTTAGCAGCTGTTATCATATATTAATTAATTCTTTATGTTGTGGTCTTACTGATTCCTTCCCATAGTTCAACAAGAAGTGACAAGGAATTTCATACCCTAATATTTTAATTATAATCTTCTTCCTTTCTTTTTCTTTTGCCATATTTCATTCCCACAACAAGCGATATAAATCCTCCAATTCTTTCTGCATTTCCAGCATCTTGATGAGTAGTCATTAATTTCCCTGTATTCTAACAGGTGTCATATACCACCTACTCACCAATTTACAGCAATTTTCTTTTATTGTCATGTGTAGTACTTCACATGTCTTAACTAGCTATAGTATGAGCAATCCTAAAAGGCAAGTGGGTATTATTATCTCTATTACGGAAAAACTTATGTTTGGCGAGAGTAACTTTTCTAGTGAGTTCATGGCAGAGGTGAAATTTGAAACAGAGATTCCCTGAGTCATAGTTTCCTTAGCCACGTCACTGCACCTGTTCTACAGAAAGGGATCAATTTCAATAGACTTCAAGGGGATCATATGGAAATGTATGCCGGAAGGTTACTTAGGGTTAGTAAGATGCTTCCGTATGGAACCATGAATGAGATTCTACATTATTTTTGGGCCCATTTATCTGGAAAGGTTTAAACAAATGACCACTCTATATGTAGGTGCTCATATGATCACCTTTTAAAAGCCGATCAATAAGTGCCTCTCTGAAAAAAGGCTTTTACGTGCACTTAATTCTCTGGACTGTTCCCAGTTTGTCTAAGTCATATTTCATATTGATCTTTTCCCCCAGGCTACATTTTGCAAATCATCTTTTTATTTGCAAGCCAAAACATTATGAAAAAAGGATATGGCTGAAAATGACTTCCTTTCCCAATAATTCACTCCAGCTATAATCAAAGCAGCTACCCTGGGAAATAGTGGCATGGCTGTGGCAGAACTGGCACTGTCCTGAAGCATTCTCAGTAGCGTAGTAGAGAGGTAAAGTATAAGAGTCATGCCATCATCTGCCAAAGTGCCAGGATAGAACTTGCAAGTGAATGAGGCAATAACAAAACTTCTAAGTTTACTATGTTTGCAGCGTAGAGCATCTGGCTTCCAGATGTTGCAGAACTACAACTCCCATCAGCCCCAGAAAGCATGGTCAAGGGCCAGGGATGATGCAAGCTGTAGTTTAAAAGCATCTAGAGTGCTAAAGGTTTCCCACACCTAGTAGAGAATGATACCAAACACTATTCTATGGTAAGGTAAAAGGGTAAAGGACCCCAGGATGATTAAGTCCAGTCAAAGGCGACTATGCGGTGTGGCGCTCCTCTCACTTTTCAGGCCGAGGGAGCCAGGAGACAGCTTTCCAGGTCACGACTAAACCGCTTCTGGCGCAACGGAGGACTGTGATGAGTGCCAGTTTGCACAGAAACACTGTTTACCTTCCCGCCACAGCAGTACCTATTTATCTACTTGCACTATTCTATGACTGCCAGCTCATCCTAATACATAGGTTATTTTGCTATGTACTCTGTGTATCTGCATGTGTGCAAAATAGATTGGTTAACTTTTTGGACTCTTGCTTCGGAGTGTGACTTTTGGGACTCTTGTGTTCAGTTTCTGCACTTCAATAGTGCCTCTACATCGCTGAGTTTCTTCAAAACATTCATTAGCGCTGAGTAAGGTGGAAAGTAGAGGTGGTACAGAACATGGCTGCCTGAGAAATTCTCCACTAGACTCCTTGTTGGGGCTGCTGGACAATCAGATCATATTACATCTCTGGGCACAGTCCACACAGCTGGTTTTGGCTTTTGAAACAGTATGATCTAAGGTGGGGTGCAACAGCAGTATTACCAACATATAAATATATGGTTTTTCAAAAAGCAAGTAAGAAATGAATACTCAAACACATGTTTGGCTTAAAGGTGAGTCTCATATTGCAAAAGTTTGAAGACACTCCTATGCTAAATGGTTTGGATACTGGTCATTTGGACGAGTATCTACACCTATCTGAACCTGGACATCTTTTAACATTAGCTCTGAAGGCATTATCATGTGCCTGCCTTTAATATGCTTTGATGCTTATAACTGTTGCTGTTAGCAAAGTTACTGTAATTCTGTATATTGAATGCTGCCTTGCTGTATTTTACTGAAAAGTCCAATCTACAAATATCTAATTAAACGAATGAGTAAATAAAAAAATAAAATCATATCTATTAGTGCATTAGAGAGCCTGACACCCTAACAGAGCTCAAAGGTTACTATCCAGTGGAAATCCCTTTTTCTTCTTCTTCTAGCCAACAGACTTACTTACACACAGATAACAGTGTTTTGCTGAGATCCACACCTGTGCTTAAATCCACATTAAAACAACAAAACCTCATTTTGATCATCCTGAAGTTTAGAAATGTGGAGCGATGCCAAACTACAAAAGAAGTCACACACCAAATCAAATGGAATAAATGAGAAATAAAGCTGGGTATCAGTGAGACAATAAAATGAAAGGAAGTGAATAATGAAATGTCACGAGTTTTGTTTGAGATGTATATGTTGCACTATAGAAGAACATTAGCTTGAGAAAGGACCGTTCCAAGAAAAAATGCACCCTAGCTTCGGAAACAGTAATGCTTTTAACTTTCTTCTATCATTGCAGTCAATACTGCATAGAAGTATTATTTCATTATAACTTGTAGACACAAAAGCCTGTTCCAATAGTCTTCAAGTGGAATTGTTTAACAATGCATATTTCAGTAGTGAAGACTCTGGGTTGTAAAAACTGAGAAACAATATTGTAAAACCTTCCCTTTGATTCTATGCAATAAATGTATATTAGAATTATGGGCTACGCAGCTAAAGAAAAACCATCAAAATACAGTCTTTGGCAGCAAGCAGTAGAATTCATGAGTGTTCACGGTATGCAACAATGGAGTAATTTTTACATGCTGAGTTTGTCATATATACTTTAAGAAAGAAAGTATATAGCTAAGCAAATAGAGAGAGAAATGTATTGTGGCAGGTTCATGAAGAATGACCTGTGCAAAGTGCTTAAGGCTTTGCAAGTTTCTTACAACTCTATTGTGTCCTAAGTCAGCCACCCCCAACCTGATTTCTTCCAGATGTTTTGGATCACAAGTCCCATCAGCCCCAGCAAGCCTGGCCAATAGTCAGGAATAGTGGGAGCAGGTCTGGCAACTGAAATGTTTAGAGCTGACATGTCAAGCTGGTTAGTATAACTACAAAAAAATGAAAAGGGGTCATGGATCAAATGCGTTAAATCATTAATTGCATGGGAATATCCTTGTTTGCATAAAGTTTACAAGCAGATTTGAATTTTGAAAATGTTCCTTAGGGAATCCTTCTTACCTCTTTCTCCATTTGAAGTCCTTCTGCTCTGATATTTCTTTCAAAAACTTCTCTTTTCTCATTCTGTGGGTTGGATTTTCTGTACACCAAGAGGTAGTCAATCCGGCATTTTCCATCCCTAAAATACAGTCCACTGGTTTTATTTTTTTCTGGTACTCCCTGCGAAGAAAAATCAGATCATTTGTTCCATTCTTTGTATTAGTATTTGATTTAACACTATTCACGCAAGCAAAAGGATTTCAATATAAAGGTCTGATATATAAAACTATTACATGATAATCACTAAAGTTATCAGATTAACATTGCATCATACAGCTAGATGAATCACACCTCATCAGAATCTCCCATATGAACCAGTCTGCCAGATCTCATCCATGGCAGAAGCTCAGCAGGTAGGTATGCAGGACAGGGTCCCATCAGTTGCAGAACTCAACTGTGGAACTCCCTGCCTCAGGAGACTCATGTGACCCATTGACATTTAGATACCCATGCTTTTGGAATAAATAGCAACTTAATTTTTTTGTTTTGTTGCTGTTATTACTTTTTAATTATTAGCACTGTTATGTTTTTAATTTTGTTTGCTACCTACCTACTGTGCAGGACAGAAAGGCAGGATAGAATAAATATGATATTCATAATATGACCTTCCACAAGAATGGCATGCATAGTTCTTTCCTCTACACCAATCTTATGAGGTAGGCTGAGAGAGAGTTTGGAGGTTCTAGCAGGGGAGCGCAGCTATTGTATACCCTTGACCGAAGAACAGTACACTCCTTCTATCTGGGATGGCCATCCTCTTCCACCGAGCACGCAGCTTCAGGAGGGACGCACATGGAGCGGTGAGGGAGGAAGGGGACACCCGCCTAGCCAGCCAGATCAGCCGAATCAACCCTGGCAATCAATGGGGTGACCACAACAGTTCTCAAACAAACAAGCCAACTAGCAAATATTGGCACATTTAGGGGATGTTTTAGGCAGGCTGCAAACCCGATAAGGAAAGGAGAAAAGGGAAGCAGTGTCATATCTCAAATACTGACAAATCTATATGCCAAATGAGCATAATTTACTTATAATTATTTTCTACAAGTCCATTTGAAAAAAACTGATGTTTGCACCTTCATGCACAATGTATGCTATATGTAAGAAATACTGTATTTTTTGCTCTATAAGACTCACTTTTTCCCTCCTAAAAAGTAAGGGGAAATGTGTGTGCATCTTATGGAGCGAATGCAGGCTGCGCAGCTATCACAGAAGCCAGAACAGCAACAGGGATTGCAGCTTTCACTGTGCAGCGATCCCTCTTGCTGTTCTGGCTTCTGAGATTCAGAATATTTTTTTTCTTGTTTTCCTCCTCCAAAAACTAGGTGCGTCTTGTGGTCTGGTGCGTCTTATAGAGCGAAAAATACGGTAGTTAAATCTGCTTGCTTTATTTCAAATAGTCAAGAATAAGGTGTGCCAAATGTCTGGAACCTCTCTTCCATTGTCTGCAGATTAATGAAATCATGGTTAACTTTGATTTTAGTGTTAACTTTATGACTGGGTGGGTCTGCGAAGCAAACCTTTGTAAAATCAGAGACGACCTGAATTTTAGCAATGGAAACCCACAAATAAATTAGAGATATAAGAAGAAGAAGAGTTTGGATTTGATATCCCGCCTTTCACTCCCTTTAAGGAGTCTCAAAGCGGCTAACATTCTCCTTTCCCTTCCTCCCCCACAACAAACACTCTGTGAGGTGAGTGGGGCTGAGAGACTTCAGAGAAGTGTGACTGGCCCAAGGTCACCCAGCAGCTGCATGTGGAGGAGCGGAGACGCGAACCCGGGTCCCCAGATTACGAGACTACCGCTCTTAACCACTACACCACACTAAGCTTCTTACCTCTCCCACTGCCTCCAATCTGCTAGTATCCTCTGAAGTACTGGTCAAATTACCATGGTGAAGCAAAGATTCATCATCCTTGGAAGGGCTGGCTATGCCTTCTAATTCATCAAAGAAAATATTGACATCCTTGGCTACTAAAAAGCAATAATAAAAAATAATACATCAACGCTGAAAGTAATACTGGCTTTGCCCACAAATATGAAATAAGATCTCAACTTTGTATATGTTTCAGACATCAAAGTCAACATAAATCATTTGCATGTCGCAAATTATCTGTGCTAATTATTAGTGCTAATAAGTAAATCTACAACAGTGATATTATGTATCCAACAGGTCAAAGGTGGTGCTGAATGACCACAGCAGCTTCATGGCAGTGGTGACAGGTGTGTACGTCTCCCTCACTTAATCCACAAAGTGTTTCCGGCCCTCAGTTGAATCTTGTAGATTTGTAACCTCTGGATGGAATTCCACCCAAATTTATACATCAAAGTTTTCTGAGACAAAGCCCTGCTTTAAAAATGGCAAAACATGACTCCAAATAGCATCTAACACTTGTGCCTGGCTAAATATATCATACAGCTTTTTTAAAAATATCCCTGTTTGCTCTGTATAAAAAGTCAAATCTCAGTATGTTTATATTTTTCCTTTAAAAAAGAAAGAAAAAAAGGCTGGTGAAAACAAACCAGAGCAAAGTCATACGTAGTACTTGGAAGATTTATAGGTTTTCCATTATCTATTCAATACAATATACAAAGTGTCATTCCAGGTCTTTACGGGGAAATAAAAATGGCAGCCAGCAGCAGGAGAGAGGCAGCAGTCTACATCCCATGCACCCACCCAGGGATGTACTTGTACCTCTACCTTTTCATTTGAAACCTGGACTTTAGGAGTCTTCATCGTTAAAGTTGTGGAAGGTTTTAATCCTTGTTTGAAATGAAAAATGTTGAACTCGCTCTTCCCTTATTGTTTTTCCCCTCAGCGTGGAACGTCCAGAAAAAAGACTCCGCCCCTTCACAGCAGCACAGCCAATCAGGTTCAAAATTTCACTGCCACAAGCACAGTACATCTTCAGTCATGGGGTGAGTGCCTCCAAACAGCTCACAACTAACTGGAAGCTTGCTTTCTACTTATTGCATCTGCTGATCTCCCCCTGCTCCCAGTTGTTTTTTAATTTATTTTTTAAACTGATTTTCCTACTATTTTCAAATATGCCATTGTATTTCAGTTTACATGGAGACCAACAAACGTCACACATACAATTAGAAAACTGCATGCAGTCAAAAGCAGTGCAATTACTACACACATTCTGAATGAGCAAATAGGCTGTGTTCCAGTTTGTTGCAGCAAAAGCTTCTCATCGCTGTTTTATAATCTCATAAATCCAACTTTTACATATGTGCATTTGGACGCACTGCACAGGAGAAGCACAAAACTGGTGTGAAGTGCACAGCATCCCTTTCCCTCCCTACAGATTTCTAGGAAGAATTCCATTACCAAATCTGTTCCCCTTTATTCAGAGGCTGCTGAAAATACATCCACCAACGTCAGGTAAGCATTTAGTCCGGGTGGTTCATTCACCAGACTGCCAATGACTATCCTCACAGTGTGACATCTTACACACAGTGAGTGAGTCAGCAACACATCTCTTCGCCTCCTCGCTCCACCTTTTCTTCTAAGAATGTCCAGGAACATTAAAAAGGTTGTAGCACAGAATTCATATCCTTTTGCACCCTGGTGTGGCAATTTCAACAGAAAGCATAGCTAACCTTTCAACATTTTTTAAAAAAGAATATTTGATTATATATATTTTTTTTTTCAGAAAAAAAGAACTTTAAAAGGATATGGCATACTTTTCCTTTTTTTACTTGGATTATTCTAATGTTGTGGTCTTCTTTTGGAAATTCACCTGTGCCATTAGTTGTAATTAAGCCACCCATTCTACAGCACTGACACTATGCACCAGAATGCTAAATTCAGTTTTGATACTAATAATATCTGAGTAAGGCACTGGGAAGATCAAGCGAGAATGTTTAATTATGAATACACTGCTATAAGTAATTCAGGGGGTAGGAGTGGAAAAATGGGGAAGCACCCATTCTACTCAGTTTGGAGAGGTCCTTTTCAAGCTCTTCACAGTCTCAGGGGGTTGGACTAGATCAGGGGTCTGCAACCCGCGGCTCCGGAGCCGCATGTGGCTCTTTTACACCTTTGCCGCAGTTCCGGGACGGATACTAGCGAGGGGAGGAGGCGCATTGTGCGCCCCGACACTCTCCACTGTGGTGGGCGCTGTACTGGCTGTGACGTCGCATGGGGGCGGTGCGTGCGTTAGTCACGCACCGTCCTGACGTCACCTTCCTGCCCCCCGCCTGCTACATTGTAAGGGGCATGTACGCTGGTCACTGCATTGAAAGGGGGCATGTACGCTGGTCACTGTTTTGAAGGGGAGTGAAGAACACACACACACAAAAAGGTAACTTGTTAATTAAACGTTTATTTCTATGAGGAGGAGTAATTCTGAGGGGTCAAACAAAGAAATAATTTAAAAAGTGACAAAAAAGTTATTTTTATAATGACGAGTTTTGCGGCTCCCAGTTTTTTTTTCTTCGGAAACGGGTCCAAGTGGCTCTTTTTATCTTAAAGGTTGCAGACCCCTGGACTAGATGATCCTCAGGGTCCCTTCCAACTTTACAATTCTATGATTCTTTTTATTTTAATAGCTTTGAGCAATTTAGTATCATCAGCAAACTTGGCTACCTCACTGCTCATTCTAGTTCATTTATGAACAAGTTACAAAGTACAGGACCCAATCTTGATTAAGTCCAGGGTTGCCACCACTGTGGTTGGTTCCCACACCAACTGTTCTGTGTGTGGATACATCACTCACTGTATCCACAGACAGGACTCTGGCTTATGGTTTTTATGACTTGGTATGGTTTTTGGTGGCCGCATTCTGTAAGACTGCATTTTAAACAGGTTTGTGCAAACGGTGCTTACTGAGAAAATGTAACGTTCAAGTAGAATGCAGAATATTGTTAAACCCTTTTCATTATAATAGACAGACACACTATTACATGAGCTAGAGTTCACAAGGGCACAAGCACTAATGGGAAATGTTTGAAATAGCTTCTGGTATCATTTGTGTGATCTTTCGTTGCCTAGTTTTCATTCTAGAGAGGATGGCAGCCAAAGGTTCAACAGAATAACATATTAAAAAGAAATCTGTTTTTCACCAAGATTAAGGGGGGAAATGCAATGGCTGCTGGCTTGCCATGATTTTTATTGTTCAGCATCTAACAATGCTAAAGTTAAGATTGTGAGATAATATAATGCAAGAATAGGGAAACAAATCCATGTAAAAAAAAAAAGTAGAGCATGAAAAAATGTGGTTTCCAAGTAACAAGTAGGGACCACAAATGTAAGCATTTTGTGCCTACTTTTTTTTAGGGGTGTACACTTGCTATGCCACTTTTATTTTTGACACATAAAGGCTACAGCCCTATGCAGGAGAGCACATTTGAACTTGCTGCTTAATACTATGCATACTTATCTGGAAGTTGTGTACATAACACGAAAATCTTTTTGCAGTTTGGAGCAGCTGCAAATAAATAAACTCCTCTTGTTCCTTGGAATTCCTAAACTAATAAATAACTCCATTCCAAGAGTGTGAATACTGACTAATTCTCAGCAGCCTTGTTGAACTTACTGCCATGTGTGCCATCACACTACAAAGCCTGGAAAGCCAAGGACCAAAATGGAGAATTTTTGTTCAAAAGAGTGAAATGCTTCATTGCTTCTTCTTTATGTGACTTTTCATTTGTAAACAAAGTGTTATTTTAAGTACTGTGTGTTCCCTTTTAATTAATGTGAGCTGCTTTGGTAAATTAGATTATTTGGCTGGCTCTTTCCAGACAAAATGTATTAAAATTGTCTCCATGCCACTTTTTAGGGCCTCCCAAGGCAGCTCATGTACAAGGCAAAACAAAAACATGTGATTACACTAAACTACCTATCTATAAACATTTTACAGTAAAAGGACAGTGTGTCTTACAAAAC